TGGAATGAATGATGACAGATGGAAAGCTAAGAAGTGTGAAGTGTTTTGTTAAACTCATTCTAATATAAGGAGCATCACTTGGCTGCTTGACAAGCAGCCCTGGGGCAGAGATCATATTAGCTGGAGGTGTTGAAGGTGATAGACTCATACTATACACACACTTTGAGTGGAAGATGTGGACTCTGCCACTGGGTGGAATTAGTGGTTCTCTCACTGACACCTGGAGCTAGAGGTGTGTTTAGACAGAATGTGAGCTGAATTTTACAAGTCCTCCAACCTAAACAACCATATACCGAGGTGAATCAGGTGAACCAAACCTTTATTATCATAGTCACAATAATAAACATGCAATTAAGGGTGTGGAACAGTTACATTTTGACTAAGATTAGGCAAACAAACAAACAAAAAATCCTATCTGGTTACAGGTGCGAAGCCAGTAATGGGGCCTGGACGGCACTGGCCCACCCACATTGATCAGTGGATGGAGACGTTAAAAGGAAAACACATGAATTCTGATCAGAATATTTTTACAGTGGTGGCATAGTCAGAGGTCAGATATCAATTGGATCTAGGACCACATATGGAAGTGGACCAGACCTGATATGAAAATATTTGATTTGGATTTGGTTTGTTCACACATTTGTAAAAAGATCAAATCTGAGTCATGGTGGGGGAAAAAATCACTTTTGGGTCACTTTGTGTTTATGAATTTAATATACAGACAAGAAAAAGAGAGGAGTGGAAGAGAATAGTAGAAAGAACTGGACTTCCTGGCAAGATCTGGGATTGGTCAGAGGCTGAGATATTAAACAAGCAAACAAGAAAAGTCAGCAGTCTGCTTGCAAAGGTATGGCCAAGTTTGAAACTCATGGAACTGTTATGGTGTCCAACGCATCAAATTATATCTGAGGACTTTATAAATATATAAAGATGAGAAGGAAAAGGAGAAAATTGGAGGAAAATATAAGAAATAAATTGAGCTACTAAGGAGTTGAAAGACTGAGTTGGACACAAAATGCAGTCCATTCATATTTTCCTTACTTATTATAATACTGGACAGTATTTGTCAATATAATGAATGCTTTTAAAATATAAACATACTTATCTCATACCTATTAAATATTATGTCAAATAAAATCTCTAACATGTAGGAAAAATAAGACAGAACTAACCATTTAGTTTGGAATAAAAACAGGGAGTGTGGCTCTTGATGACATTATGACTGTTATGTTATTAGTCTAAAAGGACCCAAATGCAGGCTGGGAAAATATAAAATTAACAAAGGCAAGATAATACACTGAACAACAACTCAGGAGGATGTCATGATTCGGTTCCGTTGCTTCCTGTCCGGTTTTTATTTTGACGTTACTTTGTTTTTGTTTCACCTTAGTTTCGGTCTTTTTACGTTCTTCATCACTCACATTGGTTTCACCTGTTTCGTTATTGTTTGCACCTCTATTTAGGCAGCGTCCTCCCACCAGGACTCTGCCAGATTGTTCTAGATCCCAGCTCTGACTCTCCAGCTTTCAGTTTTGGTATCTTGTGTTTCTGACCCGGACTGTTAAGGACATGTGAGTTTTGTGTTTTCACCGTGTCTTGTATGGTTTTCTTTTGTTCAACGTTAGTTCTCTTAATAAAGAGACGGTTTTGTTTTACACTTCCTCGTCTGGCCATTTAATTGAGTTCACCTAACACTTTTCGGCCGCATTACGCGCCGTTTCTGACAGTACAATCTGGCCAAAATGGACTCAGCCAGCAAGACAGATGAGGTGATGGTGTTGTGGACGAACTTAAACAGTTTCTGCCACCAGTTTTATGATCTTCAGGATTCTGGTGA